AGGTACATGCCACCACACCTGGCTAATTTTTTCTGTTTCTTGTAGAGACAGGGGTCTGAGCTCTTGCTCAGGCTGGTCTTGAATGCCTGGCCTCAAGCGATCCTCCTATGTTGGCCTCCCAGAATGCTAGGATTACTGGTGTGAGCCACTACACCTGGCCTGTATTTTGTATTTAATGTTTATGTAGACCATTCTGGAAATTTTCCATTTCCATAGATAGAAAACTTAAATATTCATTTTTATAACTACAATTTCATTGTATAGATGTATTATAGTTTAACCAGTTCTCTGAATGTGGGCATTTAGATTGTTTCTAATAATGTAGTGAATAACATTGCACATATGTTACTCTAATGTATTGCAGGAATATCTCTGAGATAATTTCCCAGCAGTAAGCTTGACCAAAGAGAAATCTACATTTATGATTTTGATAGATACTTTCAAATTTTGTTTCATAGGCCTTAATTATGAGATGGCTGTTTACCCATAGTTTTATCAACAGAATATGTTTTCACATTTTGGAGTTTTGCCAATCTGATAAATGAAAAATATCTTGGCAAGAGTAGGTAAGCTTTGCTGAGTGAGGTTGAACACCTTTTCAAATGTTGGAAGGCCATTTCTATTTCTATTTCTGTGAACTGTCTTTCCTTTGCTCATTATTCTCTTGAGTTGTTCAGGTCATGATCTCAATTTTTCAGAAGCTTTTTGTGTATCAGGAAGATAATATCCCTGTTAAATGAATTGTAAATATATTTTTCAGTTTGCATTTGTCTTTTGACTTGTTCGTTTCACTCTCCAAAAGTTTTTTAGTTTTATGTAGTTGAATTTAGTATTTTTTTCTTTTACGACTTTCAGATTTCTCATCCTAATTATAAAGGCATTGGCCATGTTTTCTTCTAGTTCTTTTTTGGTTTGTTCCATCCTTCCTTCCTTTCAACATTTAAATCTTTGATCCAATTTAGAATTTATCCTGGTATATGGTATGAAGTATTCGTCAAACTTTTTTCTAGATTGGTTTCAGATTGGTGCATTACTGGAGTGCATGAGGGAAATTACCAAAGAGGCTAAGGGATAGATAGTCCCAGATCATTGATGGCCTTTTATGCTACATTATGGAAGTTTAACTTTGTCCTATAAATAATGGGAAAATTTTTAGCGGGCTAGTGAATTGTAAGATTATATTTTAGATGGGTTCAATGCTGAGTTCAATGGACTCAGCCATCTATACATGGATCTCAGGTTACATGAACCCTCTGAAATTTTTAGAGAACATCTGAGGCTTTCATTAGATTCTCAAAAGAAATCTTTCATGCATGCATGAATAAAACTTAATACTTTCTTTAAAAAGATTTCTATGGCAACATTGGGATAGCTTAGATTGGATGGGGTTTAAAACTAAACATTGGGTCACCAATCAGGGAATTTGGGCATTAATGTAGGCAGAAGATGAGTGTGGTAGAGGGAAAAATGAACTTTCCCTTCAACTTATTATTTCTTGGAAGGTACAGCCAGTTTTCATTGTTCCCAGTAGTTCTGTAAATTCGCTACAAACACTGAATTAGTGGATACTGAACCATTGCCCCTCAGGGAAATACAGGGTTATTGTTGTATAATGACCCAAAGATGGGCTTTGTATATTGACCCCAAGGCTGTTTATTTCTTCACAGCAGACTGGGACCTGTTAGCTTAAAAGTGTGCTTGCATCAAACTAAATTTTGCGTATCTAATTGTTTTAAACATACTCCTCATAAGCAGTTTTTTAGACACTGAGAGCCTTCTTACTTTACAAACCCCACAAAATTGCTTTGCACTCAACATCTGCTAGCCATAAATAAGAACAACTCCCAGAGCTATAAAGACCCCACAATGCTGTTGCCCTTTGGAGCTCTGTGATCCAGAGACTATCTGCCGGGCTGTTGAGCAGTGTCACCTAGATATGTAAGCTCCCTCTCTTATGCCAAGCCCCCATACTCTCCTGTTCTGGGTAGTGGCCCCTCTGCTGCAGTTGTACGCTGTCAGGGACTTCCCCTGTATGCAAAGCTGTCAAAATATCACCCAGTAAAGCTCATGCATGCTACTGCCACCTTGTGGTCATATCTTTTTCCTTGCTCAGACCCCAAATCTCTCCAACTGAAAATACAGTTAGGTAGGTAGGTTCCTGCTAAGCCTCTGGTCATATTTTTGTCAGTCGATTTTTTTTTTTTTTTTTTTTTTTGAGACAGAGTCTCACTCT